AAAAAAAAAAAAAAAAAAAAAAGAAAGAAAAAAAAAGAAACATCCAGCAAATGCAGCCATTATGAGGTAGAATGTGGGAGATGCTTTCCTTGACTCTCAGGAGCACAAAGAGTGGAGATTTGCCCATGGTCACAAAGCTCTTGGAACAGAGCCAGAGGATCCTTGCCCATACTGCAAGTGCTCTGGGGGTATGTTGGGAGCTTCTCAGATGGTGCTGCAGGAGGTGACGAGGTTCTCAGAGAAGTGAAAAACATAGAGAAAATAGCACCCTGGTTGCATTTCTCCCTGAACAGCCATTGCTGGAAGTTCTTTGCCCTCACCTGGGTTTGGGGAGCAGAATGTTCCTGCTCCCCAATATCAGGGGTTCCCCATTGTCTCATAGCCCAGTTTGGCCTCCAGGAGCCTAGCCTGTCTTCCATCTGCCCCCAACCCACCCTCAGCCCTGGAACTGTTTACTTTGGGGTGTGGCAATGCTGCAACAGAGCACCCCCTTGCCCCACCCCGGCCCAGCCTGCGGTCTAACAGTCACCCGGATGGACATTTCCTGTCCCGGAGTGGGGGCAGGGAGTGCTCTGGTCAGACCTCTCCAGGGAGGCCAGGCGCTGCAGTCATTGGGAGTTTGTCCCCAAGGACCCCTCCTCCCCAAGGTCACGCTGGTCCTTGAAGGTAGGGGTCATTGGGAGGGCAGCTGAACAGAAGCGGCCACTTTCTGAGGGTGGGGGTTGGGGTAGGGCTGGGAGCTGGCTGCTGTCAGGAACCGCATAGCTGAACTTTTGCAGATGGGCCGAGGGTGGGTCCCTGGGCCCCTATGTCTTATTGCCCATGTCAACTGTGCCCCTGACGGCATATCATCTGGTCTGGACATTCTGTCCTCATCTCACACACACAGTGGGGACTCTTCACACAATGAAGATTGATGAAGGACACTCCGGTTTCATGAATGAGGAAATGAGTCCAGAGAGGTGACAAACTCACTCAGGGTTATAAAGTGGGGTCATAGGTGGAGCTGGAATCTGGGTGCCCCTGCTCTAGAGAGGGCCCCAGAGCATCCTTGGACACACCAACAGAGAGTACTCGCAACCTTAAACCTGCACCCACCTCTGCATGCACATGGGTCACCCCACATGGGCCCCCCTCTGACCTTTCTCCACAGCATGAGCAGCTCCAGGCCAGCCCCTGAAAGCCAAGAGGCCGACAGCCCCACCTGGCCCATTCAGCCCACATACAGCAACCTCGGTGAGCAGCACCTTGCAGAGTCAGGCTGGGGGAAGAGCGGGAACAACAGCTTATGAAAATGAGTCACCTGCCCAGAGCCACACAGGGAAACAGGGTCACCTGGATGGCACAACTCTTTCCAACTGCCCTTTCCCTCCTCTGAGCCTCAGTTTCCTCTTCTGTACATTGGGGTTGACATCTTATCATATAGAGTACATGGCAGTTGGGTATTATTGCCATTTTAGAAATGGAGAAATTGGGTTCGGCGCCTGTAGCTCAAGTGGCTAGGGTGCCAGTCACATACAATGGAGGTGGCAGGTTTGAACCCAGCCCAGGCCTGTAGCTCCAGCTACTTGGGAGGCTGAGGCAGGAGAATTGCTTAAGCCCAAAAGATTTTGAGGTTGCTGTGAGCTGTGATGCCATAGTACTCTACGGAGGGCGACGTAGTTGAGACTCTGTCTCAAAAAAAAAAAAAAAGGAAATGGAGAAATTGGGTGATGTCTGTAGTTCAGTGGGTAGGGTACCAGCCACATACACTGAGGCTGGTGGGCTCAAACCCAGCTCGCCAGCTAAAACAACAATGACAACTGTAACAAAAAGTAGCCAGGTGTTGTGGCAGCACCTACAGTCCCAGCTACTTGGGAGGCTGAGGCAAGAGAATCACTTAAGCCCAAGAGTTTGAGGTTGCTGTGAGCTATGAGGCCACAGCGCTCTACCCAGAGCAATAGCTTGAGACTCTGTCTCAAAAAAAAAAAAAAAATAGAAACAGAGAAATTGAGGCTGAGGGGCAGAGTCACATGTCCAGAGTCTGCCTGTCCTCAGCTCCCCACTCTCTTGGCCCACAGGTGAGGTCCGTGCTCACCTACTGCCCTTGAAGGCCTGCTGTCCCCGAACCCCTGGAACCATCTCCACAGACCCACAGCCTCTGCCCCCACCCCTGCCCAAGAAGACTTTAACTCGGACCCAGTCTCTGCCCACTCATGGGGCCCTCACTCCCAGCCCTGCCAGAACAGGGCAGCCTCAGAGGCCCCTTCTGGGGTCCCACAGTGTGGATGAGAGTCAGGCTGAGGCCAGGCCAGCCTGTCCCCCCACAGAGCAGACCTTCAGCAGGTCTCATGCCACACTGGGCCTCCAAGACCTGCACAGCCCAGAAGCTGTGTATGCTACATTGGCTGCCCAGCAGCTTGAGGGCCTCCACACCATCGAAGCCCGGCTCCGAGCCCGGCTCATGGGGGGCCGCCCTGACCCCTGTGGCCCTGGCCACAGCTTCAGCCTACTGGACAGCTCACCCTGCATGGAGAGTGGGGATGCCCTGTACTACCGAGTGGTTCGGAGGAATGAGGATGCCTGGCACATCTTGGCCGCCAAGGTGAGCCCCATGCCACCTCATCTTCTTGAAGGTCTCCTGATTTTCTGTCTTAGACATAACCCTTATTCAGCTTGGGCTTAATAGCTCTTTTGCAACTAACACATGAATCAACAATTCACCCTTAGAACCAAAGTTCTAAAGTGTGAGGTCATCTACATTTGAATCACCTGGGAATCTTATGAAAATCCCTCCCCACACCTTGCCAGAAAGCTTCTTTATTATTTTTAACATTCAAAAATTTTTTTCTGCCGGACATGGTGGCTCATGTCTGTAATTCTAGCACTCTGGAAGGCTAAGTCAGGTGAATAGCTTGAGCTCACGACTTTGAGACCAGTCTGAGCAAAAGGGAGACCCCGTCTCTACTGAAAATAGAAAAACTGAGGCAAGAAGATTGCTTGAGTCCAAGAATTGGAGGATGCTGTGAGCTATGATGCCACAGCATTCTATCCAGGGCAACAGCTTGAGACTCTGTCTGAAAAAAATTTTTTTTAATTTTCTGTAGAGACAGGGTCTTGCTGTATTGCCCAGTCTGGCTTCAACTCCTAGCTTCAAGCCATCCTCCCAAATTGCTGGAATTATAGACCTAAACCACCACATCTGGCCTGAGATCTCCAGCCTGGCAACTATCATTTGTAATCACACTACCACCACCAACCCAGGTGATTCTAATGTAATGCTCAGAGATGACTTCTAGAAAGAGCTTTGCTGTCCAGTATTGCAGCCTCTGGGCCTGGGTGACTTCTGAGCACTTGAAATGTGGCTAGCCTGATTGAGATATGTTGTGTGTCAAATACACTGGTCTGGAAGATTTCGTATCCAAGAATGATAATAGTAATGATAACGCAAAATATCTCAATATTATTTAAGGACCCGTTAAAATGATATTGTTTAATCTACTGGGTTAAATAAAACAGATTATGAAAATTACTTTCATGGGGGTTCTTTTCACGTTTTCCTACCAGTGTGGCTATGGGAAAATTTTACATTTCATTCATGGCCTGTGTTGTATTTCTCTCCAGCAGCCCAGCCTAGCCCTTTAGCTGACATCTCCCTCTTTACCAAGTGGTCAGGAAGAACCAGCCCTTTGGCAAACAAACTTTAAGCCTCCCTAGTTTAATTTTCCTGAAAGAAGTTATCTGTGATTAACATCGGAATTAATATTGACTCGGCCTTCTGCCGGTGATGCAGCCAGCCCCTTAACCTTAGCCATGGCCAAGGCAATTTGGGGGTAGGCCAGGAAAGCTTCAGGGCAGGTAGAGGGGTAGGACAGCCAGTACTGGTTTGTGGGCTTAGTGGTCCAGGCATTGACGCACCCTCTGTCTGCAGGTACCCAAGCTCAGAACGGAGGTGCCACACCCGTGGGGCCTGGAGCTGCAGGCCTCTCTGCCTCCACACTTCAACCTGCAAGGGCTGTGTGGTCTGGTACCGGAGGGCACACTGCTCGCAGCACCCTGGAGAGGCCCTGTGGTGCTAGTGGCTGAGGTACCAGAGCGCACTGTGACCCAGTGGCTGGCGGAGATTGGCGCGCAGCGGTCAGAGGAGTTCGTGCGGGCCACTGCTCTCCTGCTGCTGCAACTGAGCGCGGCCCTGGAGTGCTTGGAGGCGCAGGGCGCGATCCTGGCTGAGCTGCGGCCTGAGAACCTACTGCTAGCGGCACCGCGGGGCTGTGTGGCCACGGGGACCCCGCGCTTGCTGCTGGCGGACTTCAGCTGCGTCTGCCGGAGCCCTCTGGAAGCCCCGGGGACTCATGCGCCTCAGCTGGTCCGCCTGCTCCGCAGGCTGCTGGGCCCTGCCGCGCCTTTGGCCTCGCCTTTGGCCATGGGCCTGGAGCGCCTGGCCGCCCGGCTGTCCCATTCGCGGCCCTCAGCGGCCCGGACGCGTGGCGCACTACAGGCGCTGCTCTGGGGTCCTGGGCAAGAGCTATGTGGCCGCGGAGCCTCGCTGGGGCTCTGGTTGGGGGCCCGCCGCGCCCTACTGATCTTGCACCTGGCTGAACAGACGGCTGGTGGAGAGGCCCCACGTCTCGAGGACTGGCTGTGCTGTGAGTACCTGGCCGAAGCCACAGAAGCCTTGCTGGGCCAGGCCCTGATGCTGCTGTGGGACTGACTCAGACCTGGAGAGGACACACCTGGTCAGGTCTGGAGGCTGATGAGCTGTCTCTAATGTCTGTCCCCTCCCATGCTGGGGGACTTATGCCCAGGGCTTCCCAAAAGTGCAGCAGCCCAGCGCTGGCCAGGGCACCCCTCTGATGCCAGGACAACCACCCTCTTCCAAGGGTACACACCCTCTGCCAATCAATATCTGTCTGAATATATTCTGCCTTCCACCAGAAGTCACAAGGCTAAGGCCTGTCACTGTCTCTGAGAGTGTGGATGTTGTCCTTTCAGTGCTTGGTCAGTGGCATTTTTTTTCTTTGTTTTGGTTTAGCAGGCCCAGGCCAGGTTCAAACCTGTGGCTGGCACCCTAACCACTGAGCATGGGTGCCTCAGGCCTATCAGAGGCACTTCTGTCCCTGGAGCAACTCCTCATTCTGAGGACAGCATGACTATTCCAGGTCCTGGTGGAGAACTGCGTGGTGCTCATGGGCAGGGATGGGGCTCCCTAGAATCTTAGACACCCAGCCCAGCCAGTGGAAGTCTGGACTCACTGCCACCTCCCTGCTTTCTCCCCACACACCCTGGGCTCTCCCTGTGACACACTAAGCCTCCAAGTCTTTGTATAGGCTGTTAACTCTACCAGGCTGTTCCACTCCTGCTTCCTCTAAGCAAATAAAGTCACCCCTCCTGGGCCCTCCATGGCTCCTTGCCCTGTTCTCCCTATCCCCCAACAGCATGTTATCACCACCTGGACATATTTATCCAATTCTGTTATCTGTTACCTTCCATGAGGTTGTGAGGCCCTTGAGGGTAAGGGCCAGACTTGGTACACAGTAGGTGTTCAATTAACAGTATGGTAGAATAAGCAAGCAGGCCAGAGATAAGACTCCTTAAGGGTCTCTGTTCATGCCTCTGAAATATAGACCCAGAAGCCTTGAGGGGTCCCACGGTCTTCGCTCGAGACCTCCTCCCTGGAGGTGCCCCCTCCAGCCAATCCCCCATGGACAATCCTGTGGGATCTTTCTAACCCCCACATATGACCAGGTCCCCCTCGTACTCCATGGCTCTCAAGTGCCATCAGAACACACACAGGGCACCCCAAAGGCTCTATACTATCTCTAGCCAATCCTTCCTGCCCTGCCACATTGCTCATCAGTGGAAGTACTTTCTGGTTGCCAGGCCTTTGCCCAGGTTGTGAAGAACCCTTCCCTTTACTCTGGTTCAGGCTCCTATTCATCTTTCTTTTTTTTTTTTGAGACAG